ACTTAATATTAAAAGTGATTTTTAATTACATTTCGCTCTAGGTAAAAGAGATAAATTTAGTATCTAGCACTTTTTTTAAGTTTTTCGCAAATAAAATTTGTGACGAAATATATTAGGATTTTAAATATTACGTAGTCTTTTAGTCAGCCACGGGATTATGTTTATTATTGTATCTATTGTGTTTTAAAAATAAGTTTTTAATTGGGCAGGACACTTTAAGGCGATAATAAAAAGACACAATTCTTTTTTTTTTTTCCTATATGGCTCTGGCACGGTTTGTGTATTAGCCAGCGTCACGACACAATTCTGTACATCAAACCGTATGAATGGCGCCAAAAACTAACACATCACAGCGCATGCGCTAAAGCGGTCGCTGCCACAGATAACAATTGACTGTCATAGACGATCTCGCGCTGAATGTTGAATTTAGACTTTTATTGCCTTATAAAGAAAAAAAATGCATTATTTTGATATCAAGGTAGAGCTTTCTTTACTTTGCAGTACTTGTTTGTAAAGTACGAAAACACCACGCGTGTTCTTGTCAACATTGTATTTATTTTAATACATATTTACTTTTTTTAAATCAGAAGCTTACAATGAATAAATAAAATGACTTTAAGGAGTTCCTTATTACCTCTTTTCAAATGATTTTTTAAATTCTCTTCTATGCAGACGCTAGTAACTGATGTATTCAAAGTTATTATGAGTTCGCTATCGTATATGACTAGAGCATTATTCAGTGCAGTGAACAATCAGTCTGCCACTGCAGCATCAGGGCAGAGGTCAAGGAATGCGATCGATAAACAGCAAGATTTGACAGTGAAATAGCGCGTTTATGTTCACCATAACTATATCGACCACAATGACGCCTACATCAATCTTCCGTGAGGTCAAAAGATCAACATATTTTATAGACTTTTTCTTTTATAAGATTGAGTCGGTTGATACAGGGTGTTTTAACTGAGCATTAAAGTTTGACGTTTTTTCTAGAGAGCTTTCGGTTCTGGTTTTTCAGATTTTCTCGTCCACTCCACGCCCTTTATTTAAGAACTGGAGGACATGTAAATTTAGTACCATACTTTTTTTATAGACGTTCATAAGTGTATATTAGGTTACCTTTACTAACAAATGATATTTTCATTTAATTTACCTAGTCATAAGTATTCATAGATATATTTAGGTTCAAAATTACTAATTTCTTACAACTGTTTATGCATATGTTTATTTTTATTAAATGTAACTATCGATTACCACTAGGTACTGCTTTATGACGCAAATCGTAGAGTATAATAATATAATTGACCGTCAAAACTTAATCAAATATTCCTTATTTAAAATTACAAAATGTTATCTAAATATTGCTTGTTCTTGTAAAATTTTACGATTTAGGAACTACGTTCTGAAAAGAGAAAAGACCTGAAAGGATAGCTTTATTCTTATTAATAACAAGTTAAAATGTTATATTAGCAAACGTTAACGAAAATAAAATACTATTCCAGACATAGAAAACGGCGAATGAACAACACGTTGAATTCTCTGACGCGCTTACGCATGGCAAATAGTGTCTCTATACGAGCCCTAAATATATCTGGAGCAAACTCCCGACACATTCAAGGGTTATCCTACTAAATTAGAAATGTGACTTGCTTACTCAACTGGTAATGCGCACTTCTGACAACATATGTCCTAGCACATCTGTAATAAAAGTTAAAGTAGATCTGTTCATACTAAAGTTTTAAAGACGCAATAATTTAGTAACCTTTCTGATTAGATTTCTTTATCTATTTCGTGATCAATTGTTTTTTTCTAATTAGGTGATCACCCTTTTGTTCCTGACATCCGTGAACTTTCGAGTCAGGCAGGGCGGTTTCCTCACGATGCTTTCCTTCACTCTAAGCAAATGTTGAACGACAGCCAGAAATTTCATAGGTAACAGCCGAGGGTCGAACCTACTACTTTACGGATGAGAGTCGCACGGTAAAACCACTACTCCAATACCGCGAAACTGAGAAAGGCTACTATTTAAAAAACACCTTTTGTGTATGTAATGTTACCTCTTTTTAAGAACTTACAGGATAAGATTCAGAGGCGCGACTTAGCGCTCAATAGTATTATTTTGTATGGACTGTATCTTTAAAAAAGACAGACAAACACAATTCTCAAAAAACAACAAAACAGTAAATCAAAACCACAAGTGAAATAACAATTTAACTATGTTTCGATTAAAATAAAATCTGTGGTGGTTAAAGTTTTATAACAGCATGAAATTAATGAAGTAACCACAACATCGACCAATGGTAAATTTAATGGCAGTCATAAAATTAACTATAATATAATCGCACGTGTACGCTTAGGGAATGGTGTACCAAGAAACGAAGTTCCGTGTAAACTGATGCTGTGGTCCAATTATAACTTCCTATTCGAGTCCTTAAAGCGTAACTTTCGCTTTGAGATAGAAATGCCAGAATTGTCTTCACACAAAATTCAATACAAAACTGTTATGTTTTTGTGAAAACTGATTGTTAAATCCGCATTATTACAACAATGTCTAACATTATTAATTTCGTTGTCTATATATAGACAAACGTAATTTAATTATCGAATAGTTACTAATCGAACGATTCAATTCGTGTAGCATCTTTTTTCCACGCTTCTATATTATTCGTCATGTCATCCATAAATCAAAATTCATAGTGTGTAAGAATAATTTCTTTGGCAGTTCATTGCAATCTTTAAAGTGCCTAAGACTACGTATATAATATCTGACTACTTACGCAATAAAATTAGTGCCATTTGTAGGTCCAATAAGTAATAATACCCTTTTATCACATGGCGGGTGCATCCGGCCATCAAACGTCGTCGGCAGCCTGTCGACATCTGCTGCCCCAATTTAATGCTAGTATGTGTTGAGTTTTTGTAAATAAGCTTCAAACGATTTCAGTCTACTCTATATAAATTAATATCAATTCCTTTATTTTTATTGTCTCTGGTATTTTGTCATGCTACACTATATTCGATAGTATTTTGTCTATGGTTTTTACTATAAAATAATTGATCGTACCCATCTACAGATTATCTATGAACACGAAAAACGCGTTTGCAATTTTATGATTAACTGTTTTAATCAAGTCAGATAGCAAGCATCGAATATACCAACAGTACCAATTCATTAAAAATCTTTATTTTATTTCCATTTAGTAAGCATTCTATACTGAATGATTAAAAGTTGAAGAATGTTAAGATAAACCAAGAATTCATGTCTTCAAAACATTCTTTGTCACAGGAAACGGCTTACTTTAACAAGAAAATGAGCTTATTACATGAGTCAATATTGCATAATAATATCCTGTATCAATTATAAAATGAATCAATAAACATTCCGTGCAGGAAAGGGGCACATCCCGGATAACGCGTGTAAGGAAACGGGCCCAACGCTTCCTCTGCGCAATGCCGAGTGGCGACTCGTGTAGTTATTTATATCATAACTCATAAGTGTGGACTTGTTTAACATTTATAATTTACTGTTGATCTATTATAATTTAAATCATAGTTAAACCAACCAACCAGGCTGCAGAAGATAGACCACTCTTTATATGGAAATTGTATTCATTTTTACAACAATCTCCTAAGCGAAATTAGAGAGTTACCACTAAACAAATTCAAAGCCCTCGTTAAACGTAAATTAATCAATAAAGCTTTTTATAGATTACACGAATATTTAAATGATCCTGATCCTTGGGATTGATTTGCTCCAGTTGAAACACCTTTTACCTATATGAATAAAGTTATTTTGAGTTTGAATTATACAATATTCTCATATAAACGTATTGAATTTAACCAGACTTATTCTGTTTGACCATTGTATCTAATTCTAATCTAATTATTATAAATAATCTAATTGTTTAAAACGGTTTTAACAAGAGGGCTATAAATATGTAACGATAGTCAGTTGCTATTATATTGCACCTACATTAAATTAAAAATGCGATGTCTGAGCGTAAACACTTTTTTTAAGTTTTGATAAAATCTTGTACTGTTGCAAAATCGTCTCTTGGTAAGTCATCTACTGTTTCGAAAATAGATTATTAAACTATTCAAAATGTTACGATACAGTTAAAGTATTTAATATTAAATTTCATACTATTTCACCGACTTTATGGACCCCTGCAAGTCAATGGAGTAAGAATTCTCTAAATTAACATGAAGCTCACATTCAAATTGCCACTAAATGAGATCATTAAAATATGTTTTATTATTATTTCTGTGCATGAAAGTTGGTTTTATTATTCTCTACGAAACGTTATACCAGTTTTTCAGTGCTCAAATGTCAATGAGATTAATTTATTGATACATAAATTATTATTATTATGGAAGAATATGCATAATGAAACTAATGAGCATGAAACTGATCACCTCACTCCCACGGATCCTAACGACAAGTATTCAGATCATGGGTAAGAATATTAAATTGCATTCTCATTTTTGCGTCGGAGTGACCTCAGTGGGTGAACTTAGAAAAAAACAAGCATTGTAGTAAACATTCGTATTTATAATATAATGTTGTCGTTTTATTTACAAATAAATACAAATTCAGTTAATAAATAAATGGTAAATTATCTACATCTTAATAAGTATGTTTTATATCTCATTTCTTAATCTTCTCTGGATTCGTGTGGAATCCAAAATACTAAATGTTAGCGTTTTCTTATGACACGTTTCGGTCTCAAGAAAATTTGAGACTCGGCGTTCGGGCGACACGTTCACGTACATTCACACTATACGACTATATTTACAAGTATTCGAGACGATCACTCGGCGGCCGGGGCTCTGTCCGCTGCCCGCACCGCTCTCTCACTGGCGCACTGCTCACCGCTCATCGCTCACTGCTCACTGCACACCACACAACACTGAGTCCGGCCCCGCGCGGCCCGGCCCTTCGCTCGCCAATAAATATTTGTACAACGCGGGCGCCGCTGCGGGGGCTCGCTCGGGGGGCGGGACTAGATAATACTGGAGAGCGGCGGCCGCTCGGGGCAGCGGCAGCCGGAGCGGCGACAGCGCGCGTAGGCCGCCGCGCCCGCCGCCGCAAGCGCACGGAGAGGCCAGTAAAGCCACAGGCACGGCAGCGGCACCGAAAGTGCCGCCACACACGCCAGCCGAGCGCCGCCCGCACACGGCTCCGCTTCGCCCTCGCCGCTCCCGCAGTGGTAGAACAGCGCTTTAGCGCAGCACATACACGACGCGTAGTCCACGCACGCCTCTGCGCTGCATAGGCACGAGCCGCACAGCCATCGTTGAGGCAGAGGCCGCGGCCGCGCACACTGCTCGCAGCGGCAGCGGCCACAATTCTCGCACACTATGGAATCGGCGGCGAGCGCGGCAGCGCGACGCTTATCCGCGGCGGCGGCCGGCTGCGCCGTCACCGGTTTTAGCGGCTGCGCGGCTGCAGCGTGGGCTCGCGGGGTCGGCGGCGCGCGACGCGGGGCCTCGACGTAGGCATTCCGCTCGCGCTCCGCTTGGGGCCGCGGCCGCAACAGCGACACAGGCTGGCGCGCGGAGCTGGCGGCGCCCGTACGGTGCACGCGCGCCGCCGGCTTGGGCGGCCGGGGCGGCGCCGCCGGCCCGCCATACTCGTCCATCGAGTCCGGCTAACGGCTCTCGGGGCCGTCGCCTTCCTGTTCCCTCATCGTCCCCACCTACGGACAATACATGACTAGGTCAGACACAAATTACTACAATATCAGATTATAAGTAATACACAGGAACGTCGCTTTATAGAGTACCCAAATTTTTTTATCCCTAAGCCGATTTTCCCGGTGTGCTTTTTTACGTATCAAGACCAACAGTCTATCTAAAGATTATAAATAGAGCAATAATATTTCTTATTTCTAACGGACTCATTAAAAAAGTAACTTATAGTTTATTAGGTAATTTCGTATTATATTTTCAGAACACTTTTAATTAGTAACATTGTTTTACAAAATTCTCAGGTCAATGGCCTCATTTAGACTAGTATGCAATATTACCTGATAATGCAAATAATTATGCATATGAGTTCTTATGCAATTAATATTGACGAAAGTTAATTTTTGAAAGACGATTTGAAATGCGTCAAATCACGTTATTTTATAATACGTTAAGATTATTTGTCTAAGTAATAGTTGAACTCATTGTACTATATTAATGATTGTATGATTTTTTCAACTACAACTTATATAACAATCGGTGGTAAACATGAAAATCCAGTAAAGTTAAGTTCAAAATAAATAATATAGAATCGATATATAATACGACTTATGTAAGAATAAAATGTTAATTGTAATTGTCATCTGATTAAATCGCGTTCATAAAAGGAAAATCATTAAGTAATGTTGTGACGTAAATAAAATGATATGTCAACACTTTTAAAATGTTGATCTATAATTACGCAATTTAAATTTAAAAAGACTATATATGTACGTGTAAAATTAAAAGATATGGAATGAATCTGGCATCAGTTTTGCAATCAAAATATTTACAGCAATATTATACTATATTGCATGTGATTCATACAATATAGTGATCAGCCATAAACGCCCAAGGTTCGATCTCCGGCTGTGCGCCTATGTGGCGTTCTACCTATGTGCTTTTAGCACTCTCTTGAACTGTGCTTTAGACCCAAAAAGTTGACGGATTGTGTCAGCAAAGATAGCTGATCAAAATCCTAGTAAAAAGAAATAAATGATCACGCAAAATATATAAATCTGAGGCGCAGACCTTAAATATTGTAGCGCTACTGTTTTTTAAAATTCATATAAAAATCTTACTATAAATAAGCGCACTCAAATGAAAAAAAAAACATAGTCCTTTATTAAGACCATACCATAGTCAAATTATGATTTGACCATAGGAAAAATCTTTGATAGTTTTGATTTGAAATATTTAGTTACTATTTTCCACCGTATGTACATAGATGATCTTTTTGCACGTAATTCTACGTATAGTAACGAACAAATATACTTTAGTGTTTACATTAAAATTATCTTTAATCTATTGAATAATATAAATAGATTTTATGAAATGATTTTGGTTTAATGTTTCAACAGCCTTAATCCGTAGCGTAGTAAATACAGAATAAATCGTTTCATACATTCCATATCGCTAAATGAAAATCGATAAATTCGCCAAAAACTATTTAAGGCTGTTTTTATATACGAGAAAGTATAAGTGTTTCGTTTGGAAAAATATAATTTTCTAATATTTTTAAAATAGACAGACAGGGAGAGGGAATATTGTTTTCTCTATCTGATTCAGTTCTAATTTGGAACTTCTTAATTAGAAAAGTATCAGTATGTACGGTTTCAAATAGTGTAGTTTCAATCGAAACATAAAGATCTTGATTATAAATATTATGATTTCAATCGGAAGTAGTAGTAATGGCCCGAAATGTAAGATTCACGTCGTTAAATAAATAAGTCTACTATAAATACATTTTTATATAACAGGGGCAAACCGACAGGAGGCTCACCTGATGGTAAGTGATACCATGGACTCTCCATGCCAGAAAGCTCGCAAGTGTTGCCGGCGTTTTAAGAATGGCTACGCCGAGCGATGAAGCCGGTCGGAAAGTCACTGGTCGTCAACGATTCGTTCGTTGTATTTAAGAAGCTGGTACTGGGTAGCTTTGGATCAGAGAAATATAATATGTTTTACTAGTACTGCGTAATTTTACCCTTTATCTCAGCTAGTTAAATATATTCGTTGCGTATGCGTCGGATTTTGTATAAATGTCATATTGCGGACACCGAAAAATTTTCAAGCATCTTAAATTAGCGTTTAATAATCAGTCATGCTCACTACAGCTTGATTGCGTTGAAGATGCGGCTGTAGCGTAAGGCTGTTGTCTACTTGCGCTTACTAGCTTTCAAGATTTTTCATATACGGCGCGAACACGTAAGTTTATTTGATTCATAGCACGTGTGCTATTTAGGGTAAAATTCAGCGCAGACTTTCGTATTGGATTTTGACATACGGTCCCGATTTCAAGAGTCGAAATCATAATTTAGTTTATCCGTTGTTGTACTTTATCAGCGATAGTTGACATCTAGAAGAACCTTCAGATTGTAATCTATTAAAAGCGCATAAAACCTTTTTGTTATAATTGAATTTTTTATCTCTTTTTTTGCACAGATTGAATAACGTAGCGAAAATATAGTTATTTATTAAATTATATTCGCGTAAATAAAATATTGTTTTCAAGTTGTATGGGAGTTATTATTCTTAGCGCGTTTATTATATATTACATAAAAACCGGTTTGCCGAGTGATAAGACTATGTATATATATGATGAATATTGATCACCAAGGTTACAAATAAGATAGTGTAGTTCGCTTTCAGAGGCGTTGTCAAATTCCAATATCTCTCATTGAATGCAATTTTTTATTAAACTATTATTCTGTGTAGCTGTCGCATTACCGTCTTAAAAGTCTCGTGAAGAATTAAATAGAAAGGGACTTAAAAAAAAATCATTGTCTATGGATTGTGTTAGTTACTATTACGGTATTTTAATTAAATGAATGGTAAGTACACGTTATAAGGGCGTCCCAGCTTTAAATTCTTTAAGCACGGCCTTTTAGCGTAAATAAGTGGTTTATAAGGCCAAGGAGGTCTCAATCAATAACATTCTTAATATATGTTAGCATGTAATGAAAATAAAATTGGAAGTTTTTACAGTTAAAATGGTTTTCACTTCATAATGTTTCAACATGAACTATTACTATGAAAGCTATTATTCTATTGTTAAATAGTTCTTATCTTGTTTTCGTCTATGGTACGTAAATGTCAACTGTCAATATCAAGGCATGGAGTAAAATTGTTTATCAAATACCAAATAATCGAATAAATACTTCTTCATAAGTGAATATTAATTAAAACTGAATAAGTTTTCTACGGTAAGCTGTTCCAAATCGTAAATGTTAATAACAAAACGTAATAGATTTCAATTTTATGAACTTATTGCTAAACACATAATCTTAAGTAAACGTCCGCTCATTTCTAATAAGTATATGAAGATTTGAATTTGGAACCTTGATGCACGTAAACTAGTTTTTTGATTATGTATGTTCAAGATTAGAACAAAATTTGTGGCCATATTCAATTATCACCATATTGAACTTATTATTCGATAAAGTTTTTATAGTTTAAAACTACATTCAAGCATTATTAACATTTTTATTAGCTGTGAGTGGTTTTTGTACGGATTTGTAATTAAAATTAATTTAATTTAAGCAACGTGCACGCTCTAAACTCTAAAGCGTTATTTAATAGTGTTTTGCTAACTTTACGATCGTTACATCACGGCAAGGTAAGTTTGATGTTATCTTGTATAACGTTATTTATAATATAAATTAGTGTTTCACATAATTTTGTTTCGTCTAAATATTTTACGGCTTATAAAGTTCGTTAAAAGATAATGTCGTTATGTTTACAAGTTATTGCTCCTTATCACCCTTATCAATAGTTGTAGAAATTGGTGCCGCTGTTGCTATAATAATTTGGAATACCGAAATCATTACATATATTTTTAATGTTTTTAAAACGCGTAAGTTCAATTGACAGATAGCGAAGTAAAAATAATATTGATATTTAATTTCAACGCCTAGAAATGGTATGCTTTAGTGTCATTAAATTCGTATATGGAATTTGTGCGCATACGCACCTAGCGTATCTAGTCTGATTTGAATACCAAACTATCGCTACATGGTAGAGTTCCACGTAAGCAGATGATCCTGTATTATAAGTTTATTTGAAGTATACCAAGATTGATTGATAGTGACGTTCATTAAATTCCAACGTAAGTTTATGGAATATAGTGAATTAGATTTCTATTTGATTCCGTTTGAGTAGAGTAGCGGTCATAGCGTCTACGTCGCGCACGTGTGACGGCACCGGCAGGAGGCAAACACAAGGTCCCCTCATTCATGCTTTCCACTTCTACATTCTAGCTATGTCTTAATTCGAATTCCTGAGAGAATGGCATCCGCAAGAAGTTAAGTACTCGTAATAGAACGCTAGTTGTATCTGCCGCAAATCAACGCATCCTGGACACTGGCATTCGAACCAGTGGGCGATATGATAGCCGGGACGTCTGGGTACTTACGAAGCAGACGTTCCACGTCACATGTCTCCTACACACATCACGATATACACAAGTGCATACACAAGTGCACTCGGGCCGATTGGCCCCACACACTACACTGAGCTCGGGCGCCGGTGCCGCACCGAAACCGCGCCAGAAACCTCACTGATTCACAAAAATACGACAGAACCACTGAATTTTGGGCCGGCAAATCCACGGGAAGGCTCACGAGAGCGGCGCGGTCCGGAGCGGCACCTGGCGCGGGCGGGGGGCGGCCCACGCACCGGCCTCGATTCTCGTCCGCCCGCCGCGCGGTTATCACTGCAATATGGCCGCTACTCACTTCCTCGGTGAAGTTCTTCGTTGATTTCTACTCCTGATCTCGACGATGGCGATTCTCTTAACCGTTCCGAACTCGTGCGGATTCACTGCACTTATTCTTATACACATTTTAATGGGAAACCGGGAGCGTTAGCACTACGCTCCGACGAAACGAGCGTCCCGTTCGCAGACACATTCCGCACTGGCGTCGGGCGCGGGTGCGGGTCGGCGCGCGGCGCGGCCCGCTCCGCGCGTCCCTCCGCGCGCGCCTCGCCTTTTTATGAATGGAAGGCGGCCATACTGAATGAACCGCGTACACGAAGCAGTCGGCCGCTATTTTCGCAGGCCAGCGGGGTGAGCGCAGGGGGCGGGAGCCGGAAACGGGCTGCGAGCGCGAGCGGTGCCAAATTTTGCGGCGCGGGCGACGGTAGCGGATGCGCTCGTTTATCGAGCTTCCGGCGAGATCCCCCCGCGCAACCGCATCCGGGAATTAGGTTTCCGGCCAACGAGACCAACGAACACCCCGCCCACTTTCCTTTAACGATTATTACTCACTATGATAACGAGAGCCTATCTGATGAAACGGGTTCAATTATTCGTTCAAGTTCACATCATATTTTTGCCGCTTTTGCTGTGGCCTCTGATGAAGGTCGTTTTGCGTACACAATATTAATAAAGTTTCTCTTTCTATGCACCAAATTCCGATACGATGTGAGTATTTAAATATTACACGTGACGCATATGTACAATAAATAGAACATAGTCTTAGTAAAGGAGGAAAGAAATAATATAACTATTAATAGTTATTTAGTATGTACATATTAATGAACGTACACAAATCACTTGCTTCGAAATATGTATAGAAATTAAATATTATTGTAAACTATATAAAGCGTTATTATTGAAATAATAGGCTATTGTATCTTGAAAGTGGTCAAGACCGGATGCTCTATCAATGCGTAGGCATAACTTCCGTTACTGATTTGTAATACTTATGATGAGTAATACTTATTATTATGCAAGCTTTACACAAAGCAAAGGCTTCCTCTTTCCTTCCACTATTACCATAACGTTTAAAAGAAAATTGAGTACAGGATAAAATGCACGTAATGATCATTGATATACCTACTTAGGTATTTATTTAGCCTTTATATCTAGAATGAATACATTTAATTGTTGTATTTTAAATGTGTTACTAGTAAAACTACTAGTTAAAAACTTTTGTATATCACTTTACATATAAATATGAATTTTGAAGTTTATAAATAACCGTAAGATTTGTATTATTACACCAGGTATTCCTGGCTGAATTAACGTATCTAGCGGTTAGTCCAGTGGCAGTTTAGCCTTTGCAGTCTTGGCCGCAGAAACAAAAAGTATTTTATAATAAGTACCTACTGTATAAACGGTAATATTAGCACTGATTAAATTACAAGGTTTGGGTAAAACATACGACATTTACAAATAGATATAAATACATAATATGTACCACGGCCTATCGTAGAGAACTAAAGTGATAAAGGCAGATCGCGCAGACTAAAATTGACAACGACTACTCTATGAAGAGGAGAGTAATCATAGAATAATATAACTTATTCCCAAAGAAGACTTAAGTTATGAATTGTAACTTGAAATTCCCACAGCTAATAAAAAGTTGCTTTAACAAAAACAATAAAATCTGAATCGACGTCGTCTTAGCACAAAAAATAATAACTTGATTAACTTACCGCAATATCTATTGTTAATGGGCTCATAAAAAATATTAACAAAACAAGAATAATTATAATGAATGAATGGACCTAAGTTTGAACAACAAAAACTTCTACCTGCTTGAGCATTGTTTGGTGAACCAAATTTAAAATTTCTTGTCATTTTAATGTGAATGAAGCAAACCAGATGTCTTGGATCTTTCACATTTGTTATGTTAAGTAAATTTTCTCACACGGCAATTGTTAGATACCAATTTAACTCTATCATAATAAAATTAACCTTTTACATATAACTAGTATATGCAAAACCTGAAAACGGCGATTTTTTTTTGTCTTGCTTTTGCCAAAAACTTTCTCCGCTCGTTCTTATCTTGTTTTCTTTTTTATTTAAACTTGGTTACATTAAAAGAAAAACAAATAACATATATTATTAAGGACGCAACGGCCGTATCGCAAACAAGCGATCTCTTCCAGGCAACCCTAGTAAGGATATTTTAAATAAAAAAAAAATACGTGTGGCACTCGGGGACTGCCGCGGAAAAGCTATTGCATAGCATTTTTTATAAACTTATGCAATATAATTATTTATTTATTTTTTGCAGTATTTTTTTTCTTTGTTCTTTCATATTAATTCAAGTTTTTTCTTTGATATTAATTCAATCTACAACTCTACCAGACTCAGACTAACACGCCTAGATATCCGATCACGCTAAACCGATGAATTTTTTTTAAATATTTGGAACACCATTCCAATCCCTTGCCCATTTTGTTTCATTTTTCTAGACAATTGCTGTCACAATCGTATAGCTCAATACTTTAGCAGTAACATAATATGTCCATATTCATTCGAATGTTCCAACCATTGCTATTGACAACCAATACGTATAGTAGCATGAGAAAATTCCAAAAAGCGGTACACGCTAATATTTTAACATTTACAAGATCAAACCTTGGCTAGGTTAGGCTAAAATGCATACATTTATTGTCGCTTTCTTGCTATTGGACCACTGACATCGACATCTTCAATACAAAGAGTCGTGAGTTGTGTACTGCGATATTGCAGGATACTCAAGTGTGAGGAAGTTGCATGGATCTGGTTAGAGCCGGGCGTAAGTTCTCATGTCATTTTCACACTTGTATATCCTTTCTATAACATATTTTCATAAGTATCTGATTGTTATGACCGCATTTAGACTCTCAATAGGACGGTTGTGCGTAAAGTCCTGGCTAACTAAGCCAGCCTAACTCCTTCCTAACACTGATTCCTCTGCGCTGAAACAGCCTCTGCACATGGGGCTGTCTATCGTGTTTAGGACAAAAATATTTTTATTAAGGAGACAATGGCCCGTAATTGTTGCCCTATGATTGTTCACATTTTAACATGTGTGATTTTTGATAGCAAAACTAAACCTTTACCACTTAACACACGCTGTTTGGCGAGCTCTGCCTAGAACAAAAACTTAAACCGGAACGAATCCTAATGCTTCGACATGTGTGTTGAGCGGGTTTTTAAAAGATCCATGTTTTTGTTTTAGTTTTAGGGTCTTCCTTCCGTTCCCAAAGGCAAGGAATTTGCACCAAAAAAGTACTTTTTTATTCGTCATTCCTTAATTTCAACAATGGTGAAATTAAATACTAAAAATACGTTTAATTGGTTACTTGGATTGTGGAACGTTGAACGCCTTGGTTATATCCCCAGTGAATCGGTTCATATTTCGGTTTGAAAATCATAAATGCCCACCGGTCTTGCATATAAAGTTAGTATGATATAGTATGGTTTACCGTACCCAAATAACGCTGTGTATTAATTAGTTCAAGCAGTGTTAACTTAATGGCTTTAATGTGGCTCTCATCCCTGAGGTCGTAGGTTCGATCTCCAGCCGTGCAACAATGGACTTTGTATCTATGTGTAACACTCGCTCGTAGGGTGGAAGAAATCATCGTGAGGAAACCGGCATGTCTCAAATGATTAAAAATGATTTAAGAAACGGATGCAATGAGATATCCATATAGGATTGTAGCGCCACTGGATTATTTTTATTATTAATTAGTCTACGATTGTTTGTCGGACGGTTCTGGACTTAATGACTAAATCAATAATTGTATTCCTAGGTATGAGATGAATAGAAGAGAATAAAAATAAGAGTAACTTATTGACATTAACAATAAAACTTCTTGTCAACTTGGTGCTTTTATTGTTCTGATATTTTTCTAACTTGTCATTTATAACCAGCCTTTCTTTCTGTCTTTCTACGAGGTTTTATATTCCACGAACTAATTCAACGTGGTGTAATCATTAAACTTTTCTTACTGCAGCTGAACAATAAGTGATTCAATCGAGTTTACATGAAATGCGATTCTCATCAGAGAGGAAATAATGGGTGGCCGAAAGAGACTTGCTAAGGGTGAGACACACTATATATTCTAAAATCCTATTATGCTTAAATTTTAATATTAATTTATTAACAAAGATTAATAAAACAAAATAATACATTTATAACCTTACCAAATCTAATAAGGTTTTCCTAACCTAACTAAAATACGTTAATAAAAGGAGTCCCTTAAGGCTAGGTTCCGAAGATACTGGCAGCGTTCCCCCATTGAATAGCTAGACTAATTCTTTGTCTGAGGTAGCTGCCAGCTATTCGGGTCTCCTGTGATGTCGACAAAAAATATTTGTTCATTCAGCAACTTTTTGTAATAAATTTGTAAAAACACTGTAAACAAAGCCGTTTATCCATTAAGTGTGGCTTCAGCGTGCGACTCTCATACCCGAGGTCGTAGGTTCAATCCTCGGCTGTGCACCAATGGTCTTTCTTTCTATTTGTGCATTTAACATTCGCTCGAACGGCGAAGGAAAACATCGTGAGGAAACCGACATGTCTCAGACCCAAAAAACGACGGCGTGTGTCAGGCACTGGAGGCTGATCACCTACTTGCCTATTACATTTAAAAATGATCATGAAACGATTCAGAAATCTTAGGCCAAGACTTAAAGAGGTTGTAGCGCCACTGATTTATTTTATTTATTAGTAGAACAAATTAACAAAAACAAATGAATTGACAGTGAAAAGAATTATGACAGTGAATACAAGTCTTACATTGAAAATGACACCGTTCGTACCACATCGACTCATTCGAGGAAAGTTGAGCAGCTCACAATAAGCTTTCATACGAAAAGCACATTCTCAGAAAAACTCGAACTGTTTATTAGTATATTCTATTAAAGCAAGAAAAGCTTGAGACGTGCTTTAGAAGTGCAAAAACAAATCCACGGTATTATTTGAAACATTGTAATATTCAACTTTTAATTTATAAATATTATTATTAAGTATTGTGCAGTGTCTTTTGATGGGTATATATATATTTATAAACTATTTATTCTCAATCATCGGGATTGAATCTAATCAAACAAAATATAGTACGCACAGCGCCTAAATAAATCTATAGTTTATATACTATGGAAAAGGCCATAGAGTATATAAACTATTTTTGGAGCTTTTTTCAAATGTTCTATTTTTAAAACAGGAAGTAATTCTATCGCAGTAAAACGTTGATAATTGATATATACGAGAGTTGGCAAAATATACACATGCCTTCAACTAGGACACTTCAAGTTTTTAATTACTTATTTTTAGAACCAAAGCTCAAGTTGCCCTGATAACCAGCCCATGGAAACTCACACAGCAGAAGCCTAGTCATTGTTTTATTTTTTACCTTCCAGCGCCGGTACTGTGTAACGGCAATAGTTATTGCGATCCCGAGTTTTTCTACCGCATGACTCCAAGGTTGCCACAATATCAGCGCCACGCTTATTGAGTATGTACCTCGAAATTGCGTACAAAAACGTCTCAGTTGGTATCGCTATAGGAAGTTACAGAGTTCGAGTTCTGCCCTGCAACTCGAACCCAGAAACAATAAACTACAAGCTCCCACCTTTTCAGAATGCCAAATCGTAAAATGACTGCTTCACGACTGATTTGAGAGCGACCGCCGATGCGAAAACCACTGTGC